TAGAGTGTTAAAGAAATGCCTACGACAGTACAGTTCCTGCTTCTTTGTGTGCCCCTTCCCCACAGCCCAGCTAATAGATGCTCGCACCCCAGAATATAGTTGTGGGGCCCTACCTGGCCCAGACATTTCCCCTCCATTTTTCCCCAGAGCACAGCTGTTTCTCTCCTCTCCCTGGCCTAGACACTCACTCCCCTATACTTCTTTCTTTCCCTCTCCTATACCCCCATATGAGATCAGATGCAGGTCATGCACACATCACAAGGCCGCCGCATTCTCTGAGTCTAGCATCCTAGAGCCAAGGGATCCAGAAAGAGCCTGATGTTGGATTGTGTCACCACCATGCTTCAGAGAGTGTAGGGAGCTGCAGCCCTCCAATTCCATCTTCTTTTTCTTGGCTGCATCTTCCATTTGCAAGGTGGGCTTTGCTGTGTCCAGCAGCCCTATGTGATTGGCAGCATCTCTACAGCATACTTTTCTAGGGTGAAATAGAAATTCTGCATGCCCAATATTAATTTCTGCAAAATTCTGTAATGTGCGGTTTAGAGATGTTAAATTTCGATTAATCAGCTAATTGAGTAGTCCATGGAATTTCCATTGACTACTCAAGTAGTTGATATGGGGGGGGCTCTCGCTGCGTCTCTGCCTTTGAAATGTAGCAAGAGTCACGCACAGCTATTGCCTGGTCCCCCGCTGCGCCTCTGCCTCTCCAGCCTCCCCCTTCCCTTCCGAGTGGAGATGATGCCGTGGGGAACTGGCTTTTAAGCCGGCTCCCCCTAGCACTTGCTCCTGCTCCCCCATCAAGGGGGAGGAAGCAACTAGTCAAATAGTGACTACCTGATAAATCATGTGCGTATCGGGTAGGCAACTACTTGACTCATCGCTTTCATCCCTAATGCGGTGGCACAAAATTCTCCCTGCTTGTAATTCCACAGAGTAAGCTTGAGCTGTCTCTGGTATTTGCAAGAAAAAATGTCAAACACTGATACCTTGTGGAAGAGGTCCGTGAAAGGAAGCAAGCTGATAATAAATTCCATATTTGTTTTGGTGTGAGTTTTTGCACTCCATAAAAACAGATGGTTGAATATGGAAAGAATCTTTGAGACTTTTCATTTTCCAGCTGGGCTTCTGGAAATGTGAAGGAGGATGTTGGAAAGTACTTTGGGATATAACTTGTAATGGGTTATCACGCATATTAGCTATCTGTCTCCTATTTATAAAATGCAAAACTGTAAATCTTTGCATGGAACCAACACAAATTACTGCACATTCTGGTACCGAACTTCAACTTTTTTTCTTTGACACTTATCTAAAACACAATCTCTAGCTACAATTGAAAGTGGGTATGTTGGGACGGGGGGAGGGAGGAGGACATCCTGTTCAATTCACAAGCAGTATCTATAATGATATTTGAGACCATTTGACCAGTGTTGGAGGGAGGGTGAATGTAAACCTTTTCTTTTCTATGTTGCATGTGACAGATTACATGATTTCAGCTCCATTTAGGTCATTAACTTTTTTCTTAATCAGGAACAGAGGAGCTGTTTTTCTGTGTACACAAATTGACTTAGCGGAAGTAGAATTTTAAATTTTCTTCTAAGATTAAGCAATATCAGTTGTCCTGGCCTTACTTCAGTAATATAGCACTGACAAAAATCACTAACCCTTAAGAAGACTTTTAATATCTAAGTGTATGTAAATTGAACACTGATTTTGCTACAGTGCTGTGCCAGGGAAGAATTTTGAGTATAAGCAGGTGTGAATCCTTCTTTTTGGGAGCTATTTCATAAGAGGTTGTGTCAGGAGGTCAAGGTAGAGGGATGGAAAGGATTCACTGGGAAGCTGTAAAAAGTCCTAGTGAGCTGTGTTTAGGCATAAAAGATTGGTCTTCTGGAGAAGTGAAAGGAAAAGTTGGAGAGTATTGTGGGTTATAACTTGTTTAAAAAAAAAAGTTTATTACATGCAATAGAACAAGACTACCTCATATTTACAAAATGTAGGAACTGGGAACAATTGCATGGTTCCCTTGCACATTCATTTGCAAAAGGATTGGAATAAAATATAGAAGGGATGCCTTGCATTCTGGTGTACTTTTTGTAAATTCTGCTTCTTTATTATGTTTCTAGCTGTTTTGTTTCCTCAAGATCCATTGTTTCTTTAAAATCTTTGTGGTTCTGCAATGAGCAGAGATCATTTCGTTGGATTAGAAGGAACTGAAGTGTTTTCTTGTTATATTTGCAGTATTCTATTAATGTCCTCTTGATAAGCCAAGATTAGAAAAACAATGCATCAGTATGCATGTATTTGGGATGTTAGTGTGTAATTGAATAGTCATTTAACTGCATGAAATTTTTTAGTAACCGGCTTCACTCTTGGGGAGACCTCTGTTACCCTGTGCTGCTGCCTCTGTATTAGGCTCCTCACAAAGACAGGCTGTGCCTGCCACCCCACACTGCTCCCTCTCATACAGAGCCAGCAATGTAGGGTGGCAGCAGCCCATGTCCACAGGGAGCTGCTGCCATGAAGCAGCCTCTGTTTGTGGCAGGTCCAGGTTCGCCGCGGACAGAGGCTGCCCTGTGGCATGCTGGTGCAGCCTCTGTCCCTGGCAAGCTCAAACACCCTGCAGTGGGGCATGGCTGTCTTTGATAGTGCAGTGGGGCAGTTCCCCCCCAGCACTGTCTCCTGCCTGCCCCATCCCTCACCCCACTGCCTCAGTAGGAGGCAGCGGGAAGACTTATCTTTGGAATATCAAGACAGGTCAGTTAATCTGAATATTTGGCCATCTCTACCAGCCATTTTGAGCACCTTAAACTGTACCTGAACATATGCTAGTATTTTGATAGAACTTTTGCTAGAACCTTTGATATGGGAGCTTTTGAATTATCATGGATTGTTCATCCTGCATTTGTTGTCATGCAAAGGTGGTACAGGTTGGGCCTCGTTGGACTGGCATGTTCAGGTCCCAAACCAGGGAGTTTGCCAGGCCAAGGGAGGTTAATGTCCTCCTGCTGGTTGCTAGCCGCCACTCCCAGACTCCCCTCCTGGCAGGGCTTTTAGCTGTCAATCCCCACTTTGTGCTGGCCTGGCTACACTCTCTGCCATTGCCCCTCACTCCCAGCCGTCAGGGCGCTCTGGGCCAGCAACATCTGTGGTCCTGTCAGACCAGGGATGTTGCTGGACCAGAGTCCCAGATTAGAGGTTAAACCTGTAGTAATAATAGGAGGTGTTAAGGGGTTTCTAAATTCAGAAAGCTTGGAGGGAGGAACATGTCATGGGCTATGCTTGACCTTCCTTTCCAGTAGTTATATTACTGAGGTTTTTTTAGTAATATCTCTTGCTTGTTGGATGGAAAAAGTTTACTTGAGCAGTAGTTCTTAATTGTAATTCTCCAGTTATTGTGTGTTAAGAATAAATTAGAGCTAGAAATTTGGAGTTGGGAGGGGGAGCTTGGGGATTGTTGTCTTTTGTGGAATAGATTGATAAAATATGTGCCTTTGATGGAAGTGCCTAGCTTGAACAGTGTTAAAGAAATCTTAAGATTTATTTCTGTTAACAATGTTGCTTGGGTAGCAAGTCAATTAACTTTACATTTAATGAATTAACAGCTGATGAGTTAAGACAGGCCTACACTAGACCTGAAAGGGCCGGTTAAGATAACTCCAGCAACAAAATACATAGCTGAAGTTAGCTTACCTTAAGACTAGCTTGGTGCCATCTTCAGAGGGAGGCCGATGGGAGCAAACTGCCCCCGTTGCCTTCCCTTGTTCTTTGTGACTTAGAGGAGTACCAGTGCCAACTGGAGCTGCCCTCAGCATTCGCATTTTGTGGGTCTTAACTAGATCTGGTCAATCGAATGCCAGAAGATCAGTCTCCAGTGTGGCACGTGAAGACGTGGCCAAAGTAAATGCAACAAGATCACGCTTTGTAATTTGACTACTTAATTCCTCTTCCTTGTTGACCTGCATTTTAATTGAAAATATTGTCAGTTCAAGTAAATCCAAGCGGGCAAGCTTGGGAAGGAAAGCTTTTTTGTTTTACTTTTTTTCCCCAAAAAGTGTACTCTGGAACATGTTTCAGCAGCAGTCAAAGTATTAATATACAAGGTCTAAATGGCAAAATGTGAGTATTCATGTGAGAACTTCTGGATGCCTGCACATTGCTTTTTATAAAGAATGTGCTCAAAATTCAGTCACATGGAAGTAGTAAAATCTGTATTGATATTTAAGCACATATGAAATGGTACTGTCCCAGAGTTAAAAGTGGTTCTGTAATACCAACTGGAAGAATAGCATTGTGTAAGTTACGTGATAATTACATGCTGTCTTTCACTTTTTATTTGGACCTGAAATCAACTGAGGGGCAAAACCCCTGTGTATACACAGTAAAAATTTCTGACGTGTTGGGGGGAATGGAGGGTGCCAGTCATATATTCTAGTTAGTTAAGAGTTAACTAGAATAAGTGAAGGAGGGGATGAGGCCACAGAGGGTGGGCCCAGAAGTGAGGGTTTGGAGTACAGAAGGGATCTCCTGGCTGTGGGGTAGAAGGGATTTCAGAGTGTCAGATCTAGATGGTACTCACCTTAGGCAGCTCCTGGCAAGTGGAACAAGTCCCTGCTACTCCTAGGGAGAGGCGCAACTAGGTGCACTGTCTTCACCCGGAGGTGCCATCCCTGCAGCCCCCATTGGCTATCGTTCCTCGCCAATGGGAACTGCAGAGCCAGTGCTCATGATGAGGCAGGTGCAGAGCATGATGCGCTTGTGGATGTTCCTCTATCTAGGAGCAGCAGGAACATGTTGCCGCTTCTAGGGAGCCATATGGAGCCAAGTAAGGGAGCCTGTTGGCCCTGCACTTACTGGACTATAAAGCAGATTCTCAGAAATGCCAGTTTATGGAGCTTTCTGGCTGATGACGTGCCAGACGTGCATTTAATAAAACAGCTTTTACTATGTGTAATTTTGGTGTACATGGGAGTTATTACATTAAAATGTGGGGGGTTTTTCAGGTCAACAAGGGCAGCCACAAGATTATTCAAAGGCTTGGGAGGAATATTACAAGAAGCAAGGTAATATTTGTTAGAAATGAGATTATTTTGAGCTTCTTTGTCTTTGTTACAGCAACAAAGTTATATAGTCCTAATTTCTTTTAGGTCAAGCAGTTCCAGCTCCAGCTGGGGCCCCACCAGGTCAGCCTGATTATAGTGCAGCATGGGCTGAATACTACAGACAGCAAGCAGCATATTATGCCCAAACAAGTCCACAGGGAATGCCACAGCATCCTCCTGCACCACAGGTATAAAGTTTTATGAATTTATTTTGTGATTATAAATATTTTTTTGCATGTCTCCTGTTTTGTTACCTTTGGAGTATGCATCCTTTTTTTCTAGCAAAATAACTCAGACTAATTAGTAAATAACCTGTGGTAACTTGAGTTCTCTATCAGTACATTCGGTGCTTTTGATTAAAAATTTTTCTCCCCCCAGGGTTTAGAAACCATGCAAGAAGCCACCACCATTTGCATTAACCAATTTTTCTTTCTTAAAGGCTTCACTCCTGAGTTAGCTCAATTTAAAGGATTTTCTTTAACTTTTTGTGTATCTCTTATGTATCTCTTCTGCACAGGGCCAATAATAAGAAGTGGACAATACAGTATTTGCTTCATTGTGTGGGGGAAAAAACCTTTGTTAAATGTATGGATGCAGACGCCTTGATGAAGATCTTAATTTTGTTTGGTTTAAAAATAGTGTTTTTGAAAATGTACAAAATATCTATCACTACTGATAGGAGGTAATATTTCTGTGTAGAAATGAAAATTGGTTTGTTTTTAGTATACTAGTGTAGATGTACACATTCCAGCAAATGTATTTGCAGTTATTATGTGGTCAATGCTTTGTGATATAAATGTACTTTTTCAATGTATACTTTCACTTTTAAAATGCCTGTTTTGTGCTTTACAATAAATAATATGAAACCTCCTGTGTCGGTAAGTTGGATATGTGGGTATTTAAAGAATTCTAGGACTTGATAGCAATGCTGAATTAAGGTATATGTACCCATGAGACTTTTTTCCCCCCATGAAATCTTAAAGTTGAAAAACCTGACATTGGCCTGTTTTTCCCCTTTGCAGAATAGTTGTTAGATGAAGGATCTCTTTCAATTATTGTATTTTGCTGTCTAGCACCAGTAATCTTGATATCTTTATTTTCTTTCTATTTGATTAAAAACTGCATGTGTTTAAGAAGATGATCTTTTGGCATACTTCCATTGCATTAACAGTGAAATTTCCCTTTTTATACATGACCACTGTTTCAGGCCTGTACAGCTGCAATAAGTTAACGTTTCTGTTTTTAATTTGATACTTACTTGACTGTTTCAGTATAACTATTTTAAACATTTTTCAGATTAGTTATAAAAGGTTTTTACTTTTATAATTAAATGTTCTCAGCATTCAGTTAGCAGTAGTTCATTTCAATATTTAGTGTAGAAAGGTGAATGTGGCTACCAGAATTGCATCGGACATTGGAACTTTATTTTGTTTTGGGTGGGAGGAGAGCTTGACAGAGAACTTCTTTCAGTACAGATAAGTTCTGTTGTGTGAATGCTCAAGATCAGTTGTTGAATCAAATTATTTGATATACTTTGTTACATTACTGCTCGTACTGAAAATCTGATATTCTGTTGAAATTCATTGTTTGCTGTTTGCATATTTATTGGCTCTGCATATATTAGACTACATGCAATACAGTCTGTCTTGCCATTGTCTGTTGAAGTGCAGGTTTGATCCAGCCAGTATAGAACTAGCTCTATAGGGGTGAGGAGGACTGTGCTGTGTATCATCCTTGATTGTTCCTTCAAGGAGCATTGCACTGTAAGTACATCAGAATGACAAATTGATGAACTGCAACAGTATCTTTTTGTCAATGTTCCACATAATGCAAATGCCATACTTGTGTGAATATTATGTTGGAATACAGTGCTAATATCTTAGGAAATCATAACTGCTTCTTAATTCAGAAACATAGGTGTGCATATATATATGTGTGAGCTTTATGGGTAAGTATTCTTGAAATGTTCAGCAATAGCTAAAGAAAATCTTGTGTTATCTAAGTAATACGACGTTTTTCACTAGTGCTCCTGAGACAAAGGCTGTATTATTTAGCTTATGAAAATATGCATATCTTGTTAACATGAAAGTGATTGGAACTGCTTTGACAGATAGACAAGTTGTTTTGTCTTCAGTGAGTTTGCAGACATGTAGTGATGCAGGTACATGTTAAACTATATTATAAGCCTGTATTAGCCCTATATTTTTGGAGCTCCATTTGTTGCTTTGAGAATACTTTTTATAGTGGCTGCCTAGAGAAGTAAAACTTAAGGCTTGAAATTTGAAGTAGTTTTATTATTCAGATAATTAGTAATGTATTTCATTGTATAGCAGAACCTGGAGGGAACTACCTTTCCCCTTTTTAGATTAGGAATTGTAATAGTAGTTTTAAACAGCTAGGAAAATATTTCAATTTTTAGTGCAGGATATGAAATTTAATAGTTAAGATATTTTGCATGATATTTTTTGTAAATGACCTTATAGTAGAATGGTGCATTTATTACTAATTAAACTGAACAAAATTAAAATCACTGGATTCTTTATCATTCACAAAATGGAGGCTGTTGATTTTGATTCATTTTAAGGTATAAAATCTTTATTAATTGCAAACAGTGCAATTATTTATACTTCACAGTGCCTTCCCAGACCTTCCACCTTAGGTTCTGCTGCAAAAAGCAACAGGTAAGCACAACCTAAGGAAGTATATAAGTAAATATTTCAGTACATTAATGTTGTCCCTGTGAAATTTTTGTGGTTGTGTATTCAAAAGCAATCTGCTGATTTCCCAACTGCATTCTGTTATTCATGGTTCCATTTCAGTGGAAAGTCTCAGTTGTTTAAACAACCGTTCACATTTCTGGGTAAATATGTATCTTTATTTTTAGAAGAGACGAGTAGATTGCTGCAATTAAACTTAATCAGAATAAATCATTTTTGTTACTTTTTCCTCAAATAGCTGAAATGTAACAATAAAGGAAAACAAAACTTTCCCCTCCTAAGCTGTAGGAAATACTTGGTTAGAAACTTCAACAGCCTTCACAGATGTTTTTATAACTGGCAGGTCATTCCCATCCCACCCCTAAAAGTTAAATAGAATACTGTGTGTTGCTCTTGTCACTGGAACTGATGACTTTTTAAAGAAGTTAAACAACATAACATTAGTGACATTTTTAGATAACCTAGTTTGCTTATCCATATGATATCCTAGGAAAATGAACACTACAGTTTTGCAAAATAGTATGTCTTACTAGATAGCATGTGCACATGTGAAATGTTAATTGTATGGCAAATATTTTCAGTATCTATATAGCAATCAGTATTTTCTGTTCTTTGATACTTTTAACTGAATTGCTGTATACTTTTGCCAGTTTAAAATGTTTGTTTTATTAGATGATACAGTTTTTACTTAAAGCAGCATCTCATCAGTTTTTGTTTATTCAATATATAAAATGTGCTGATCCTTTTTCGAAAGTCCTGCTTATCTATATCTACATTAAAGAAAATTATTCAAAAATACTGCCTTCATTTTCACACACAGTGCTGAAGATGCTGCAAGCACCAAATCATAGCTCATAAAATCAGGTCCTGAGATAGTTACTACCAATAAAGAGGAATCCTTTGAGTGTATGCCATTGGTGAGCCGATGAGCACGGACCATAGAAGGGGTCCATTAGAAGGTAAAATTGGCAAAACAGATTTGAAATGTATCCCATACATAATGGTGTAGGGTATAATTTTTGTTTGATCACTTTTTGTTCTCTCTAGTGCTATTTGCTTAACCATAAATGTTCAATAATCTGTTTTAGTTTAAAAAACTGTGGCTAATAATATTAAACTATTTTAATTTATATTCTTCTAAGCAGTCAAGCTTAGATATGTTTACCTTCTGAAATTAGTAGTTGCACTTAATTCCCTCAAGCCACTTCATTTTTGTTTACTTGTAGTTTGATATGTAACTCACATTTATTTTTCACATGAGAACTACCTATGTACTCTAGTGGAGTTTAAATCCTAAGAATTTATTTGTCTGGGATGGGATTTCCATTTCACTTCCTTAAACATGCTGCTTTTTTAATTTCACTGTTACATAATAAATATTGTAGTAATTAAAATCTTCAATTGAGTATATTTAGGAAGGAGGAAATACAAATGACAGGCCAGTTATTTGGATTGATTGATGGGGGGAGGGGTGTGAAGTCACAGTGTCTTCAGTTTAGTGTTTGTGGATATTTTCAGCAGGGACAGAAAATAATTAAATTACAAGAATCTCATTCATGTCTTAGCAAGGATTGTTTTTGTGGTATGGTAGAAAAGTAATTGAACTTTCCAAAATGAAGTTAAATAAATGGATCTTGATTTGATAGAACCACCCAAATGAAATAGGAAGTTCAGAGTTCTTCAGTTTTCAAAGGGAAATAGGGGAAGTGTAATGTTTAATGTAGTAGTAAGCATTTACAGATCACTTTCTCCAGTCTATACTGTAGAACATGGCACGGAATAGTCAGCTGGAAGTATAACTACTTCATTTAGAAGTATCATATAGTGTACTTTGTCCAGGCAGGTTGTTAATATTCACTGCACAGCCTATCTTATGTGAAATCTTCTATAAAAGTATTTTATTGGATGCTAGAAACTATTTTTCTCCTCATGAAATAGCTTTTCTCTGTTTTCTTTGCATGTTGTAAATTGGCAACATTTGGGCCTTACAGTAAGCACAGTTGGACAGGGTTTCCCTCTTCCCTAGTAATACCCTATAAAACTCTCATGTATATGCACATATTTCTCTTATGCATGTGAGATGCATTTTCGTCCTGAGAAAAGTGTTCTCTACAGAAACTACCCGTGTGTAAAAAGAAGATTGGCTTTATAAGGCTACTGTGATGGGAAGTGTCTTAGGGACATGCAGCTTGGACTTGAGGTAAATTGAATGCTTTACAAAATGTGGTTTTGAGTTTGCATTATTGACATTGTATGTAATATGGGTACACATTAACTGTATAACATTTTTGTATGGTTTTCTCAATAAATGTAAAATGATGGATAATACAAAATGATATTTGTCTTTTGTTGACTTTCACATTTCTGCTTCCAGTGGAAAATACATGTAGTTTTATTTTCACAATCTCATCGTTAATCTGCTGCAAGGGTGATGTGACGTAAAACTTAAGCTTCTGCATATGTCAGTGACAAGGAGAACAGCTAATCACAGATTGTAACAGTTCTCAAGTTACCATGTTCCCTTTTGTGTCCTCTCAAAACTAAATATACCCATTTTTTCCTCTTCAGTCAGGTTTTTATAAGTTTTGTTGCCATCATCTGGAATAAACATGATGCCCAAAACTGGATATGCTGTCTCATATGTAGCCTTGCCAGAGCTGATTATAGAGCGGGAAAAACTTACATATAGCACTCCAGTTAAAATGTGAGAATTTGATTTTTGAGACTGCATCACATTGTTGACTTGTACTGCTAAAAATGGGTCTACAGTTGCCTAGCGAAATTATTTGCCATTTTTATTTCTAGATTTAGATTTTAAAGCCAGCAGATAGCATCACAATCATTTGAGCTGACCTGCATATCTCAGGCCTCAGTCTCACCCAGTTCTCCAGCTTATCAAGATCATTTTGAATTCTAATTCTATCCTCTAAATTGTTTGTCATAGTGCACTCTTTGCTCCATTATCAAAGAAATTTATGAAAATACTAAATCGTATCAGAGCCAAGATATACCTCTGCTGGATCCCAATAGATGTGTCCATCCAATTTGACAGCAAACCATTGTGTTTGCTCAGAATTAGTTATCTTTCAACCTGTTGTATATCCATTTTAGAATAACTTCATCTAGACCCCATTTCCCTAATTTTGTTATGAGAGTGTGTCAGAGGACTGTCAAACCCTTACTGAAATTAAACGTCACATTTCTGCTTCTTCCTTGATCCACTTGGGCAGAAACACTGTAAAAGTAGGTTGATTTGTTGTGTTCTTGATAAATCCATGTTGGATATTTTTTACCTTATCCTCTAGATGCTTACACAGTTTTTAATAATTTTGTGAACAAACATCACCTACATGAAAAATTGCCAAACATCTTGCTTTATCTTCTAATTGTAATATTCAGAAACTGTCACACAACTAATCAGCAAAATAATTCTGAAGATATATCAAATTGAGACAGAAAAGAAGTTTCAAAAATAAGCTGCTAATATACATAAGTAACCAACAGCCAGCATAAATAAATAAAACGTCACATAGTCAATGTCTTTTTGAAAAGTTATTAAAGGATTGAATAAGAATTCAGTTGTAGCTTACTGTATTATGTTTAAGCATAGAAGTGCTAAACCTCATTAAAAGTTGATGTAGTTTTTTGGCACTTAAGCTTGTGTCTTTGTGGATTTCCCATGAGAGAATTAATAACTAGTTTTTTTATTACAAAAGGGCTAGTAACATTTAGCAAAAAATGCATGTGCTATAGTTATTTTATTTTAATCCAAATAAACGAATTGAGATGCAGTAACAAATTGCTGCAGTATGGCTTAAAGTGGAGAAAATAGTCACTGTACAAACCAATATATCTACAAATGTTCTTTCTACAAATTTAGCTAGTTTAATATGTGAAACACTATTTTGACGCATGTAAATAGTAATAAAATAGTGGGGAAAGCTTCAAAAGCAAGGCTTGGTAATCTAATAGCTATTTCAACTTCTGTCATGTTGTGCATTCTTACTGACATGGTAATTACACATCCCATTACTATTCATGTATTTATTAAAGCTGATTGAAAGGAAAATATTTTATTAAACAAAACAAAGCTTAAGCATTATAATCTTTTATTGTTTAAAAAAGTACATTTCTTTTATTCCAGAAACATTTCTTTTTTGCCTGTTAAGTCTTGAGGCAAAGCAGCTATAAACTTTTAGTGTTTATGCAGAATGTAGTGGCACAGTTAGGCTACCTCTCGAACTTCCAGATTGGGTTTGTAATCCGTATTCTACAAAACAATTGGTCTTCGAAGGTAGGAACATCAGTACAATTCAGCTTTTCTATAGTTGGGCTTTTTATATATCCACATCTTTGTTTTAGTGTGTAACAAGCCTTTGATAAATTTTATATTATAACAGCCTTCAACACTCATGCAATTTAAATGATATCCCTAACTGATATAGGAATGGCAAAGATACTTTCTAGTTTCGTTTATTGGCCCCACCACAGAAAAAGAGATGGATGCTGTAAGAAAGTTGAGGGGAAGTTTCCAGCAAAAGTAGAGCATTAGTAGTCATCAGCTAGAAAAGAAAAGAAAAGAGTCAAGAAAAATGGAAAACTTTGTAATAAGAAATGTGTGTAAAAAATAGTTAGGCATTCAAGAAGATAATAGTACATTAACTCTTACTTTCAATGGTGAGTATACAGGTGCTAGCTGCTGTGCCTCTGGTGTTGACTGCTTTACACATATATTCTCCTTCATCTTCTGGGAAAGTTTCTGGTAAGTAAAGGCAGTAAGTTTCTCCTCTTTCAATGTACTGATAGTCCTCAGAGTCCTGCAACATTTCTCCTTCAAACCACCATGTGACTTCAGGCTTTGGTTCTCCTGTGATTTTAACAGTGAATCTTACTGGCTCACTATCCACAACTGATATATTTTTCAGGGGTTTCTTGAACCATGGAGCTCCTGAGCGAGCTTGATTCTCTTCATCTTCATAAGTAGAACCATTTATAATACTCCCTTCTTCCTCCTCTTCCTCTTCCCTTTTCTGCATTACAATACAGTGATTTAGATAATTTTAAACACTTAGTAATAACCTGAATAGTTTGCAATACCTCAAGTCTTTGGCCATATGAAAGTTAGAAAAATGAGATTTTGGGGAATGACGATGGGATACATACACACAAGCATATTGTACAATACTGCATCATGCATCAACACCACCATCTGAATGTTGAACAAGAAATGCATAATGGGAATGTTGAAGAAGGGAGAAGTGGGGTGGAAAGATGGAATCCAGGAACAATACTCATGTATGTTGCTTCCTTATTCAAGAACTGGACAATATTAAATATTTGCACCATAAAAAAAATCCATTCAATCCACAGATTGAAGCTTTAAGTCTTACAAATGTTTAGCCTAGTTGGCATGTAAATATCTATGTGCCATAAAAACCTGTTATCATTTTTAAGTGACATTGTAAATAAGTAGCAGGCAGTATTATCTCCCATAAATTAATACAAACGTATTTGTCTTAGCAGTTGCCCGAACAAGAGGTAGGACTGAGTGACCATGGAAGCTCTAAAGATTTATATTCCTTTGAGTGCAGTTATGTAAAAAAAAAAATTCTACATTTGTTATACTGCTCTTTGACGATAACAGATTGCACTATATTTGTAGCAGTAATCAAATGTTGCTACTATCAAGCTCTTAAAACATGCATTTCACAAATATTAAATTAATAGGAAACATTCCTGAAAAGGGCATTTTTAATCCTTCATACCTTCTGTAATGCAGCATCAATTTCCTTCTGTTCAAACTGCATCCGTAGTAATTTTTGTTCCTCAATTCTTCTTTGTTCCTCCTCTTCCCTTGCCTTTGCCATTTGCTCAAATCTAGCCTTCATGTTTACTTTGTGAGTAAATGGAGCTTCAGATTTTTTGGCAGGCTTCACGTCTACCTCATCATCCTTTTCAGTTTAAAGAATAAGAAAAATCAGAAGTAATTGTTGAAAACTTTATTTTTACTTAATACCTATACAAGACCAAACCAATACATGATTTTTTAAAAGGATGACTTATTTGAAAGATTCATGTTATGCGTGCCTGTGGGCAGCATAACTCAGCCAGAATGCTGTAGTAACGAAAACTCCTTAAGCAGTATCTGAAGGCTGGTTTAGACTGGTAATTAAAGGTTACATGTCAGCTTTATGTAACAAACTTGATTATGAACCTCTAGTTGAGACAAAGCAATAATGCTTTCAAACATGCTAAATTAATTGAATTAAAACACCTGCTCCCTACTATAATCACTTTTAAATCCTAAATTGTCTTCACTGCAAAAAAGTCTTTACAGTCAGATATCCTTAATTATTTTGCTATAAATTTCTAGTTATCGATAAGGCACTACATATTGAACTTCTCTAAACTGGGACACACTCTGGTCCACCAATGTCCATAATGCTAAGAGGATGTTCCTGGACCTGAGAGGCCTAGTGGCAGGAGGGCAGGCAGCTCTGTTGGGGCCCAGAGCTCAGCTGGCCTGGAGATGAGGGAGGGGGATTTTGCTGAGAGCCTGGAGGCTAGCAGTTGGTGGGCCTGCGTTTACCACCTCTGATTCAGCAAACTCCCTGATTCCGGACCAGGAGGGTGCCAGATCAGGAAGGTCAAACTTTTAGTTGTTGCCTATATACAATCCTATTAGCTGCCATAAATTGTGCCTTATCTCCAAATGATTTTACATTGAGATAATTATGTCAAGACAAAGCTCTAGTCAAGACTACAATTGAGGAGGCTGGTATTCCTAACAAGTGTCAATTTCAAGATATCTTGTACAGCACTTGGCACAAGGTCCCAATCTTCATGAAGGGACTTCTGGGCACTATCCCCCATATAATTAATATTTAATTGTGAAGGTATGATTATGAACAGTCAATTTTTCTGGAAAGGCAGCTGAGAGAAGACCTCAAACCATGAGGTGAAGGTTGCTTTGGCCCCCAAAATAATAAACTGCATAAATAAGGTCAGTCAACAACAAAAATGCAGTTGCATTACTATTTCCCCATAATAATTAGTGTTGTGTTCAGCATTGTAGTATGTTCGTAAAATCCTACATAACAAGTTTGCTATCTTAGCTCTGTACATAGTGATACGATGTGGTGCACTAAATTTTCTTTGACTAGAGCAAGAAAGTAATAGATAAAATAGAAATACAGGGGTTATAAGAACCCTTTTAAGTGTTTGCTGTTTTTTGTTTGAGTAAGGGGTGGGGGACATTTTACTCGATAAGGTCCTTATCCTTTTTGGGTTCAGTTCAACTATAAAGCCTCCCCAAATCCTTCTTGTCTGTTTCCAAGAGTCATGTGCATCTTTTGACCATCTCCCAAGTTTTTCTGTTAAAAAAAAAAAAAATTAAGCCTTTCCTGCTTCT